CCTGTTCATGGTCTTGATCTGGTCAACCTTGGATAGCTCTCCCATGGAACACCAGTTGCACAGGTGAAACTAATGGATAATTTTCACATTACATCAATCCTGAAGATACCAATGCCAGATCCAGTGTTGGAGATGACTGCTTTCATTCTGTGAGTGACATTTTCTAGATACAGCTGGAGAACTATCTTTCCACTTATGTCTAGTCATTCACTATTTGGCAGAATGAAGTAAGTGTCTACTGGTCAGAGTGGTGGTCTCAGTTGTAGGAGTTGATATATTGCCAGATCTATTAGTGTTCTGTCTGATCCTGTGTCAACTCCTTCCCTTGTATCCCAACAGGTATGTACCAAGCTCCATCCATCTCTGAGAGAGCTGGGCTGATCACAAATCCTTTTGATGCAAGCTGCCTGCCATGCTTCTAAGATCAGATTAACTTGGGCTCCATAAAATTTCCAGAGCTGAAGCAGCAGCATTTGCTGCTTGCTGTTGGTTCTTCTGGACCTGTTGAGTCATTGATTGGAGCCAGTTGCATTGCCTGCTTTGCTACTTAGTAAATTATAAGTACTACTGGTTTTCTAATCAATAACTCAACATACCACAAGTGAAGCAGGTGCTTCACTTCTCCAATTACAGTTAACGTCCAGTTAGAGGTATCATTGGCATAGGCTCTTACATGTAAAGCAAAGAGGAGTATAGTATACCTGCCCATTCAATGGAAACCAATGTGGTTGCATCATAGGTTTGATGTGTATAGGTGGCTGGTTAACCCCCTGCATGGCTTGAATCTGACATGGTAGAAAGTTTCTTCCTTTTCAGCAACCTGCTTCACAATCAAGTGGTGTCCCATCGTCTCACCAGGTAGTCCTACAATGAACTTATCCACAAGTACGTCTTTACAATCTGCTGAAGCTAATGCAGGGTAAGGTTTACCATGCAGATGGTACAAATCATCTGCATAAGCAGCCAGACTCTTGCTGATGTTCCTCTTCCAAGTTCTCAGTTCAGCTCAGTGGACACTCGATTTCCCACTGGGTCAATTAGTGGAGCAACTAGGCCATGACTCTCCCTTTTTTGTTGCATCTCATCAAAATGTTGGATTCCAAGGCTGGAATGTCTTAGCTCAAGATCATGCATTAGACTACCTCTTCATAAATCCAGTCAGTTATCTGCTTGAAATGCTTCATAAAATGGCCCAAGTCTTTCTTTGTCACATTTTTAAAAAATCTGAGCAAAATCTGGTTGGCTTTACTTACAGGGATCTGTGTTGTTGGCCAAAGCCTCCCCTTTGTGAGTTCTCAGCCAGTGGCTGGCTTAGGTGCTGCCAATGTCATTGGTACGAGAAAGTAGGCATACTTGAGGATTCCAACACTCAAAAGAGTAGTCAGCCCTTGTTACAGGGTAGCTAAAGCAAACCAGTTTCTCTTGGTAGTTCATTCTGAAGTTTGGTAAAACCCTAGGTTTCCTCGTGTTCCATGATCATCTCAGAGACTCATGACTTCCCCATGTTTCATGGTCTTTTACCATTGATGCCCACTCTCTCACCTTCCAGGAAAAAACATGATTGGTGGAGATTGTTCATCAGTAGTACGTCCAGTCCTTCTCAGACTCAGATGGTCTTAACCAGTGCTTGGGAGTCCTGTAGAGACCATCATACATGGTTTCAGACTTGCCAGGTACCATTCCACTTTAGTTACCCTGAGTTGCCAATTCTTCCCTTACACCTATATCAGTCCTCGGGGGCAGTGCCCAATCTGCTTTTCTGGGTACACCAGAGATTGACTGATCCTTCTGAATCTGTGGTTGCAGAGATATCAACATCAGGAACCTTTGCAACATTAACCAAAGTTATATATAAAGGAGAGGACTTTCCTAAGCTCGACACCTCCCTCATACAACCACCCCTCTTCAAAGGAAAACTCTCTCAGTTGTGAGTACTTCTACCTATAGAAGATGCCAATACTTCAATAAGAAACAATCTGTTAAATTTGTATAATTCAGGACTTCAAGTAATTACAATACACACATTAACAAAACAGAAAATTCTATAACAAAACCCTGTGACTAAGCACCTACATTTTTCATAAAAGTGTATTAGGTAGGTCTAATTTATAATAGGAAAATCAGTAGGTTAAATTTCAAAATGATGCTGAAATTCTAAACTGACTAAGTTTTAAACTAAAGAATAAAAAGGAGTTGGTGTGTAACACAAAGTGAGTATAATCTTTATTTGGACACTGGATGGTCGCCTTTGTTACATATTAAGATTTTCAAATGGTTTGAAATGGAGTTAACTGATAATTTAAATTTAATAGTTTAATTGTACTTTGGATTTTGCAGTTAAGTAAAAGCTGATATATAGTCAGTTTATAATATTTGCCAACAAGATTGATACACACAGTTTTCTTTTTTCTAACACAAATACGTTTTAATATGCACATAACAATACAATTTACAATAACAGTTATTACAAATAGTTATCACAAACAATGATTTATAAACAAAAGTTTCACAAACTTACAAGCAATATAAAGTCTTCTTTCTAGTCTGGAACTGATGTCTTATCGAGAGTTCACGGTGAGAGATTTGATTATGAGTTGAAGTAGGTATAATTAACTTAACAAGAAGCTAGCTAGCTTTGTCCTTCGTTATTAACCAGTCACACACGCTGAGTCTTTGTCCTTCGTTATTCTCCAGCCACACGCGCCCTGTTTTCCAAGATGAATTTACATAATGTTTTCGCAAAAATATTAATGTCTGATGAGAATCCACTGAAGTTAAATGATTTGTAATGTTCGAACTTTGTAAATGCTCCTGGTCAAATAACTGAAGTTTTCCGATTGGTAAGCGTTATAACAATCACAGTTATAGCTTCCGAAGTTTATACCACACTGACTATAGCAAACTAATAATAGATATTCTCTCTTTTTTTGGGGGGGGGGCGCGTCGCGTTGGTTATATTTATAGGCGTGTGGAGGCTTTCTAGAGATTTCAGTTTAACGTAATGTTACGTCTCCGTTTGTTAATTGATTTTCCGTAACTTCGTTCCGACGAAACTTAAGCGACACAAGTCCTTTCTTAATAAAACTGGTTTATTCTTTCCGAATATAACTTTACCGATACACTCAACTTCAACAATCGCGCTGAACAAACGCTGTAACGTCTCTCGTGCTCTCTGACTGCAGTTCAATTACTCACTGTCTATACACACATTTCATTTCCGCGTCACGTTGTCCCCCTCTTATATATACCCGACTACCCTATATCTAGTAAATACTAGAGCATTCATGAAGGAACAAGATAGTTCTAGAAACTAGAGGGCGCCACACCAGTCACGTGACCTCGATGACGCAACAGTAATAATGATGGCGCTAACACAATCATTTACGTACACACATATATTGTTGATTCTTACTCTCGAGAATCTTCTACAACTTTGGAGAATAGGCGGGAGTTTCGCAATACATATCTAACACTATAAGCTATGCATGTTTTTAAATATAAACTTAATCTGAACAAATGTTGATATCAAAATATATATACAATAACAAATTCGTTACACCTTCTATTAGACTTTTGAATTGATTGATATATTTTCCTCCCTGAAAATGTCTTTCTGTCAATTAACTCATTTGAGACACCATGTATTAATGTTTGAATTGAATGTTCCTTATTCAACAGGAATTGTTGAATAGCGCTACACGCATGACTAGTCATTCTCATTCAACATAGGTGAGTCTGTAACCTCGAAACATCATTTGTCCCACCAGTGAAGGACACTACTATCATTTACACCGTCTTATATAAAATCCAGCATTACAGACATATATGTACTATCTTTAAAGGCTAACAAAGGAACAAGGACAATTAGAACGAAGTCAACGGTTTTCTGGACAAAGTATTAACTGAAAACTGCATAGACTTAGAATAAACTATAATTTTTTAGCATTTTTTACATCAAAATAATGTAGTAACTGCATGGTATGCTCGCACAACAAACACCATGGTCAAGAAAGGTGTTATTTCCAGAAAAGGGGAAAGTAATAACAGCAGCTGCAACAAAATGAACTTAGGACTTTCTTGAACAGTTGTTGTGTGAAACGTACAAATGTAATAAATAAAGGGAAAATACAGAATAAATACCACATCAAAACAGGAAGGTAGAAACAGGTGATATATTTATATACCACGGTGCTCTTAATCCGCAACTGTTTTTAAGTATATAAGATGATGCTTTTTTGGACTAGAACAGAATATCGACATGATGCATAGCTCTGTATACCTATACAGAGCTACAAGAATCGAGAGGTAACATTCTGCAGTAAAGGCGATCGTCTTTTGTGATAACACATTTTATTATTTTGTAATAAATAAAGATTATTTCACTGCGTGTGTACATTATCCTTTTTTTGCATAAACGTAGTTAGTTTCAGAGAAATTCAGAATTACCGTGAAATATATACTGATTAAATCTCTCATTAAATAGGGGACCTATTTTATTTACTCTTGGGGTAATCAAATTCACCTGAAAACAAAATTGTATAAGCCTATATACTGCAAAAAATGATATACAGTATATTTTACAATGCTGAGTCCAGCTGCCAAATATAAATACGATTTTACACAAAGTTTTAATATAATGAAAACTGAAAGAGGGCAACTTTTATTTTAAAAAGGGATAAGAAAACAATGAATACAAGTTTTCCCAATGTAAATGAGGTGGCGATTAATCTGGTGAACTATTCCACAGTTAATTTGGCATACCCACTTAGAAGTTAGATTGCAACATTTAGTTTTACACAGTAAGAACCCAGCTAGAAATTTAATAAAATGGAAAACTTGGCCAATTATTCATAACCATAGCTAAGTACATGCTTTTACTTCATTGAACACAATTTTATTCCCAGGACAATTAGATAGAAATATAACATAATATTCAGTAGAATTATATATAATTAAAATTACGGCTTCTCCGGATTTTTTTTATTAACTTCCAACAAAGTATTACGTCATTAAATATTTCCTTGACGAAGACCTGAAGGGCACGAGCAGTAGGTTGTTTCACCATTTATTATTTAAAAGTAAATAAATATAATGTTTCGAATTGCTATACAACGAGGATTTTCCTGTGTGAAAAATATTCAAAGCGTCATTATACCATATTATGCTAAGATTCAACCAGGTAAATACTTGTAAAAATAGGACCTATAAAACTTATAAATTATAACATTAACAGGTTAGTGAATAAGTTAGCCCTAAGCAAAAGCTGTCTTACTGGAGTCTTACTTTTAAGTTATAGTCGTAGTAATATTTAGCTTATATTTTTATAAATATGAATAAATCAAACAGACATTGACTAAAAAAAGATCTTATGAAGGATTTTATTCGTTCAACATCTGAGCTTTGCGCCTTCACCCTTAATATGAGTTCTTTATATAATTATAAATATAAGGGGTTCATTTCTGGGATTCAGGTCGTTTATTGAAATTATGAGTAAGTACCCCAGTAAGAATTACATAACTCAAGAAAAATTTAGCCTGATATTAGTATCATATATGGCAATAACTGAATAAAAACATGATGAAGACTGGGTATCGTTTTTTTTTATTTCCTCAAGTAATGTGGTTATATTTATAATGGTACTGTACTGATTTGAGTTAGATGCTGTATGGGCTAACAATTTTCACACAAACATCTACAATTTACTGACATTTTACACTACAAGTAATTAATTAAAAAATAAAAATGATTAATCACATTATAATGTACTTTGTGTTGCATATACCACTAATAATATTAAGATAAGCTTTTTTGAGCAGAAGTTAAGTAAAGAACATGAATTAACAAAAAAATCCATTTACAAAATATACATTGAAGCTAGCTGGGTAATTAACTGTATATTTTTGTAAATTGGTCATATTTTGATGCACTAAATGCTAAAAGAATTTGTTAACTTATTTATAGCCTAGAAAGCTGGATAAATTATAGTAGTATTGAGATGTTCTATTCTACTGTCTGTTTGACTGATATATTTTTTGTGCCCTACAATGCATATTAAAATGCTATATGTATTCTTTTTTGAAAACTCAATGAGACAGAACAAATAATTGTTTATATGTTGACACTTCCAGCACCTAATTAATACATTTCTGTGAATGAAATGTTATGAAAAATATATTTTCAAGTAACAACTGTAGTTATATAACTTAATATCTTACAGGTTTATAAGGTTTGCTATTATTGTTTTACTTGTGTTAGTTGCATGTTCCAATTATTACTACAGATTGAAAACTTGCATTCTACAATCAATTTCTTTTCAGTCAACTCACAAGACAGTGGGAAGGCTTTAAGAGGGAAATTGATTGTAATAGTAATTAAAGTTGTATGACAGAGTATGGAGCATTTGTATCTATTATCTTTTTTGCACTGTTTCGTATTTTTTATATTACTAGTTTAAAATAGCACGACTAGTATACAATAATAAAATATATAATGTTTGCTACATGAGGGAGGGGATCATTAGTAGCTTCATTTCATGGTAATCACATCCTGCATATTTCAGAATGTGTTAAGAATTATAAGGTAATTTTTTGAATATGTTTTCAAAAACACACATCACATTCCATAATCTTAAACACTTTTGTACAAGTTTCATTCTTAACTTTAAAAACTAAGTTCACTACACAAAACATGGCTACATAAGGTTCAACATTACTGTATACAGAGAAATTATGATTACCTGAGTGTCACCATTTCACTATTCAAAATTTAATATTAGTCAATGACAACCCTTTATTTTATTATTCATTAGTCCAATTTTACTCAAATACAAAAGAGAAAAGAATTTTATATGCAGAAAGTACTAGATATCCTTGTTTTTATGGATATATTTTGAGCAGAAGTAACTAAAATGTAAAAATTAGAATCTTGTCAATTTAACATAACAAAACTTCAGTAAAATGAAACATAAATTTCACATGTTTCAGAACTGTGTGAAACATTACACTCAGCAATCATTTGGGGCTTACATTAGCTCTGGGAAACAACTAATGTACTCTTACTGTGATCTATTGCTTTTGATGTAATGATGACAGTGATAAAACCATAAAATTAAAATGAAACATGTGAAAAACCTTTTGATTTTAATTTATGAAGTTGTAGAGGTTATACAAATTAAATATGAAAAAAAAGTAATTTTGTCCTGAGCATAAAATTTACCTTTACTTAAATCACCTCAGTAAAAGCTTTAGAAATATACAAACAATTCTTTAGTAAAAACATTTATCAGAGACATCCAATTTTTTGTCTACATCAGACTTGTAACATTTATTAAGAATCAGAAAATTTCATTTTATATATCCACTCAGTTTTAACTTGTTTGATTCGTTAAAATATTTATTTTGCCAATTGAAGCAGTCAACTGCCCTCTTTCAAACAGGGCAAGACTGACAAAGATTTATCTGTGACTAGAAACTTCACCTTTCAAAATGGTATTATTGGGTGTTGGGGCATGGTATTTTGACAACAATATTTTTGTTTGGGATCAGTTGATATCTAATGGTTATAGTTTGTTTCTGTACATAAGAAGCTGTATGTGTTTGAATACACAAAACTTAACATCATATCTAATAAAAAAAAAAAGGATTTTTATCATCTTAATAGTTTGCTGTTGTAGTTCTGGTGTGCTATATTTGCTGTTATACTGTTTAACATAGCATAATGTTTAGGGGCAACAAGGGACCTATTGGTCCATCTAGGCTTGGTGTGGGCAACAATTTTCAAAGGAAGGCCATTTCACAAATTTTGGTAAGTTGCCACATGCCACACATTTCTACTATATTAATTAAATTACCTCAACATTGATAGTACAAAGACCCCATTATGTTCTTTTCACAATTGCCAGGAGTCATGGCAGGCAGGACAGAAAAGTTAGATGGGCTGTATTTTGCCCACCCCTGATCTAGGCCCAATCCTCTAACTAAACTAAAACTATCAAATAATAAAACAAAAAACTTAAAACCAGCCCTTATCCTTTATATAGTTATCAAGCTTTCTCACTTAAATGTACTGCCTTCACAACATGTGAAGGCAACTTGTTCCAAAATCCAAACACCCTGTTAGAAAATAAAACTGTCTTAGCTGAAGATGACTCCTACCGCACCAAAATTTCTATTTGTTAGGGGGACACAAATTTTCACCACTAATTATGAAAAAAGATGATGCATCAACACCATCAGTTCCCTTAACAATCTTAACAGCCACAATCAGATCCCCTCTAACTCTTCTTTTTTCAAGAGAAAACAATTTCAGAGATCTTAACCTCTCCTCGTATGGCAATTCCTCCATCCCAGGCACCATTCTAGTAGCCATCCTCTGAACTCTTTCCAAGAATTCAATGTCCTTTGTAAGGTAAGGAGCCCAAGACTAAACATAATACTTCAAATGTGGCCTAACCAGTGACCTATACAACAAAATTATAACCTCTTTAGACTTGTATTCAATATATCTGTAGATACAACCTAAAATCCTATTTGCCCTACCACTAACAACAGCACACTGCTTGGATGACTTAAGAGAGTGATCAACCATTATACCAAAATACCTTTCTTTCACATTAAGGTTATTCCCATCCAAATTATACTTATAATTCAATCTATGATTATAATCCATCTGCCATTTACTTTCTCAACTCAATAAATGATCTGAATCCTTTTGTAAAGCAGCAGCATCCTCCTCACAGCCAACTACACCCAAGATCTTAATGAATATTGTGTTTGCACCCAGACAACTTTTTTTTTTATAATTTTGTCAGTACTTACGATTGTTCTGAATGTTCATAATCATACTTGGATTAAGAACTAGAAAAAAATCACAGTGCCCATAGATGTTCACTGGTTGAGCTAACATTTTGCCAGCTACCCACCGCTGATTTTGATCCATGTTAAGATTTTTGTTACGTAGAAGGTTGAGAGGTGTTTATATCCCAACCAACTTGAATGTTGTTTTTCCTTTATCAAGGTCCGTATAATGTGTGTTATTTCTGTAATATTGGAGGTGGGAGGTTTCACGACTTGTAAGCTGTTTTTCAGAAATGAGCACAAAGTTATGAATATAGTTGGAAAAGCTTCATTAAGTAGTTGGCTTACTTGTTCACCCAATGTTTAATCTGAATTCCATGTTACTTTAAAATTGTAGCTTTTATTCTAATTAATTTTCTAATTGATTGTATTCATTTTACTGGTATTCAGTTTATAAGAACTGATGAAAAAATGCATGTGTGAGATTATCAACTTTATAGAAATTGTAAAAAGTAAACCATGGTTTTTCCTAATTTTTGATGGGCCTAAGTGAAGATTGAAAAGGTTCAAATGGCAGGGGGTGGAGAGGCCTGTTGGAGATCCTGAAAGCAGATCCCACACCTGAAAGTTATTTTTTAGCAATTTTAAAGGGTTAAGAAAGCCTCTCCTTGCATCTTTTATTCTACTTTGAAATATCTGGTATTCAAGAAAACAAATTAATCAAGCCAAAAAGAGTAATAAATATGATTATATCCTAGCCTAAACATTTAGATAAAAAAGTTGTACTTTTTCATTCATTCGTATTTATTTGATTCATTTTTGTGTATCATTTATCTAGACTTTATTGTATGTGTACAAAACAATATTTTTACAGCAATTAATGTGATGTAATGCATGTTTTCCATTTCTTTATTCTGTTATTACTATTCAACTTCGTTTCTTGTTTAATTTTTATAATGACTAGATACTTCATGGTGAAGGGCCTTGAAATGTTTTCATCATTTTAAAATACATTTACAATGTTTTCCATTTGCTGTTATTTATTTTTGACAAGTAACATTTTTTGTTTATCTAATGTAATTAAACTTGACTTGGCTAGAATATAATACAATATACATTTTCTGACACTAACTCAACAGTCTTTCCAATAATCTTAATGTGGTTATACCTACAACTTCCCTAAATGTCTAAGGCTTTGTACATTCATTTCATCACATCAATCCTAGAACTCTATAGCCAATAATACAAATGTCAAAATATTTAAAAGAATAGTTCACAACCATATTTTAATCATAATTTTTGCTGAAATTATGACTTTTTCTCTAGGTTTAAAAAGTAAAGTTATGAAAATATTAGTTTCAACAAATTTCTACAAAAATCTTTGCCATTCTGATAATAAGTGCAAATATGTAGGCTTAATTGCAAATATTAATTTAAAAACTCAAAATATCACTTTAATTTTTTCAAGTTTTATCCCCTGTTTAGTATCCAAATATTTTGAGTTTCAATACATGCAATTTTCCATGTCTTTGAAAAATTTTTAATGCTTAATCATTATGTAAGATTATAATACTAATTCAGAAATGAAGAACACTGATGAGAGTACTATAGTTTATAATCAAATTCAATGCATTAGCCATATGAAGTCCACCATCCCCTCCACACCTAGGATGATTTAATTCTGAATTTCATTTACAATTAGACCTTCCAAACTTGTCAAAATCATTAACCCGTTGAGCAAAAGTTTTTTTTGAGGAAAATATATCAACCATCTATCCCAACTAATGCACAATAACAAGATGCATTCATTTCCATGACATAGAGAACAATCATACATGTAAAATAAATTCACTGTTGCAAATAACATTACACTTGCAAATATATAGTTGGAAATTTACAAAAATTTTAATTGGCCCAATTCAAGTGTGAATTGGTCATTCAAGCTAATAACTGGTTGTTAAGGAAATCTCTGATGAAAACATATATATATATATAAATACACATGTGTGTGTAATCCTTCCACAAGATATTTTAAACTTGTGCATGATATGTTTTGATAGCATAACTAGAGTAATACTGTATAACTTTTGATATTTTTACTGTTCTTATTTAGCTGCAGTTACATCTGTGAGGTCCATGTCCAAACACTCCACAGAGACTGATGAAGAATTTGATGCAAGATATGAAGCATATTTTAATCGAACAGATATTGATGGATGGGATGTTCGTAAAGCAATGAATGATTTACAAGGAATGGATCTTGTGCCAGAACCCAAGATCATGATTGCTGCTCTTAGAGCTTGTCGACGAGTCAATGATTATGCCTTGGCTGTTAGATTTCTTGAAGCTGTAAAGGTGTGTTATGCATTTTTATGGACTTGAAATTGAGAACCTCATTGTTATATTTGTAGAAGTGTTTCCACATCCCTACTGACAATAAGAAACTACTATCTGTTTATAAATGTGGCCTACTGTAGGTACAGAATATATAAATTCACATTTTTAACTTGTACTAAATGTAGGAAATTGCAACTAATTTGAATCTTTTTTTATTTTTGTCCGTGCTGTGACCACAATTTTCTAAGGAGCTTGTAAAACTTTCAGATACATTAACTTTCTGTTGTGTAAACTTTGTTTTCTATCATTTTAATTAAAAATTTGTATGAGTATGAAACACTTGTAAATGTATTATACATTTTATAAAACTTGCTAATTTTTAAGGCAATTGATTCCCATTTTGGACTGATTGGTATACAGTATATTTATTTGATTAAAAATATTCAGGTGTATACATTTACATAGATTATTATGTTAAACAAAATATAAAAAATCATTGCATTTGAAAATGTAAAATATTTGTTAACTTTTCTTACATAGAAATATTTATTTTTGGTGAACTTTCAACGTCTTTCTTGGAGCCTTTGTCAACCTCCTTAGTTTTATACTAAGTATACTTAACAATTGTATCTTTAAGATGTTTTTATAGTTAATGTTTCAAGTAAGGCTATAGTTTGGTCACTTTAATCTAGTTTAAAATTAAGATAAGGGTATGTATCGAATTTTTTTTGTCTGATATTCATTACTTAGCTGTTAATCATAGAAACTAGGCTGTATAGAATAGATTTTCACTGTTTGTTGATTCAAATCTTGTCATTGAACATGCATACAGAGAAGTGTATGATATGCTAGATTTCTATAGGGACAATGCATATTGTACTACAGTATACATGGTGGTTTTAGTTATAGATCCCTAGCTGATTAATCTTAAAGGCTATAATTTTGTGGGATCACTTAATGAATGAACAATTAAATATATTTATAGTGATCAGGCTCCATTCCCTGTATACATATTGTACTACAGTATACATGGTGGTTTTGTTATAGATCCCTAGCTGATTAATCTTAAAGGCTATAATTTTGTGGGATCACTTAATGAATGAACAATGAAATGTAGTGATAGTGATCAGGTCCCATTTCCTGTATACATATTGTACTACAGTATACATGGTGGTTTTGTTATAGATCTCTAGCTGATTAATCTTATGATTTTGTGGGTTCAGTTATTGGTACTAAGAATGGACAATTACATGTATTTATAGTGATCGGGTCCCATTATGTGAGACCTGCAAAAAGCAGCCCTGTGTAAACATTTTTTTCTTTATGTAATTAATTTCTGTAACTCAGAGTGGAATTTAAAGAAATCAAAATTTCCTTAAAACTCTAGACAACAATAATACTCTGTTTCAGTTCATGATTTTGTATGGGATATGGGCACTACAGAGTGAGAGGATTTTTGAAGTTAAAGTTTTTAACTTGCAAATAACAATTTTAATTCATGTTTAACACTCAAAGTAACACTGTCAGTAGTTTTTTTGAAATTTTAACATTTATCAGAGAATGATAAAATTAACAGACAGGACAGAATTCATCAAATCTAATGGTTCTATTAAACACCCCAGGCTGGTTGTATCCATTATTAATCCACTTCTGTGAACACACTTTGAGAGAATTAATCTGTGAAGAATATCTAAGTTTTGAAATTGAATATTTTGGTGGCATTCAAGAAATAAGCACCTACATATGTGACAGTAACAATGGTGTGTTTTTACTGCTTTCTTTTCTTTTATAAGAAAAACATTTTCATTTTATTCTTTTTTGATGAGCTTTTCAGTCATAAGTTATAAACAAAATCCCTCTTTCATTAGTAGTAACTACTATACCATAACTGAACTCTCTGTACTAGATATACTTATGCACGTTCCCTGAAAGTGTTTTGTTTCAAGAGTAAATAAAACCAAAATTAAGAGTAACAAATATTTTTATTTCTTGCATTTCAAGTTCGTATGTCATGCTGTGTTATAGCCTACAGAGTGCTTAATTCTTCTTCTTGTTATTTATGACATGTGCATGTTTTACTGACATCACAACAGTACAGATTACAATGTTAAACATCCCTTATGTGATGTCATTTTAGTGTCTACTGACTGACTGACAGACAGACAGACAACACAGATCTTTGGCCACCTTTTGGGGAAATTTTTGATAAAGTGTAAAAATAAACTATATATTGTGTATCTAGATGTACAGTGCAACAATTATTATAAGATGAGTGTGTTAAAAACATGTATAATGCCCCATAGCTATGGATGTGGTATTTCTCTCTTTCTTTTTTTTTTGAATCATAAATTGAATGATTGATGTTTGTTGTGTTCTCATTTAGGATAAGTGTGGTACCAGGATGAAAGAAATCTACCCATTTCTCCTTCAAGAGGTCAGACCTACTCTGGATGAGTTGGGAATTTGCACACCTGAAGAAATGGGATATGACAAACCGGAACTTCACTTAGAGAATGTTTATGACATTCATTGAGCCCTGTTTGGGGTAGGAAAGTGTATGTTAAACAATTATATTTTTATGTAGCTTGGTGATGATGTACATGTATTAAAACTTTTGTCCCCCAAGGTTCAATGTGTACTTTAATCATCTATCACATCTTGTTAATTGTACTTATTTAAAGTCAGTACTGAAATTTTGTATGTATGTGATGAACTGTTTACAGCAAGCTAATTATACTCAGTATACAATTATTTACATGATAGTCTTTTATCTATGTGTATGTGATATTCCCATACTGTTACATGGTTTTAAAGGTGTAGGAACTGGTCAGAGTTGGTATTAAACTGGTTTTAAATAGCTGCATTGGAGTGGGCCTCGATAATTATAAAATAATATTTATGTAATGAAGCTATGTGTGTGTTTGTGCCATAAATCACTTTGAAATAGGATTTCAGCATTTAACTTTAAAAACTAATTTTATTACACATTGAAAGTTATTACATAACTAGCAAAATACATTTAGTTTTGTCCCTATTTTTGTAACTGTCATTTGATTCACCTAATCTTGTGTGTAGATGTAGCTTCCTTAACGGAAAATGAGCATTTAGTGTACGTGCATCAAATGTTTGAAATTCTAATGCAAAATCTGGTTATACATCAACAGAACTTAGTAATTGAGACAGTATGTATTTCAACTCTGTTGGTTTATGCATATGTCCTTACCACAGTAGCTAGATACATATAACACCTTTTTTTTTCTCTATTATTATAACAAATGAATGAAATGTATATATATATATATATATATATGTGTGTGTGTGTGTGTAACCCAAATATCAAGGTACAGGTTACACTTGTTTCTATACAGAGAACGAATACTAGGGTAAACGTAGGACGTGGGAAGAAACGTACGGTTTACCGTTCGTCACTTACCTACTTTTACTTATTCCTTTCCT